AAACATAAAATGTTTAAAAACATTTTTTTAAAAAAAAGAAAGGAAAAGAATCCACTACTAAAATAAATAGCTATTAAGGAAATAATATACTTGAGACATTCCTAATCAGGCATTCTTCCCCAAAGTAGGTATAGAGACAATATTTAAGATACAGTTATTATAATCCCAGCAGGAAGCACTGAAGACATTTTGAAAAATTGTATTAATACCATTGTTGTTATAATTGAATGGTCCTTCTCTACTCTTTCCTTCTGAGCTATAATGAAACATACCTGAGTGCCTGACCTCTCTGTAGGTCTCTGAACGTGAACATTCTACTGCATGAGGCAATATCTATAGGGGCACTTGGGTGGCTCAGTCAGTTGAGTAGCCAACTCTTGACTTAGCTCAGGTCATCATCCCAGGGTCCCAAGATAGAGCCTCTTGCTTGTCCCTCTCCCTCCCCCTCTGTCCCTCCTCCTGCTTGGGATTTTTTTAATTTGAAAAGCACAGGTGGTTTTTTTTTACATAAAAATTAAAAACCACAGCTCTATGTATACTAACACATCTCTAGATATTAGAAAAAGACAAAAGGAAAAAAATATTAAGTTGCCTAGTAAGTTAATCATAGAGGTTTGAGGGTTGTTTTTTTTTTTTTTTAATGCTCAAGGGCATTTGAGAAGATGGAATGATAACTCATTTTAGTACTGAACATTAAATACTTACCATGAGATTTTCTTCTAATCTACTAGAAACAAAGAGCCAGAAACAGCATGGAAAATGCATGGAAAGGCAAAAAAGGAGTCCAAGGGCTCTACATAAAATATGACAGTTCAGAATCTCAGAAATTGGCCCTTAAGAAACAGGAAGAATCAAAGAGGAAACCACCTATGCCACCAAATCATAGTCTTCAATGAGCCCTGTCATCCAGTATGAAAATATCTGGAGGTCTCTTTTTCACTTACATAGACACAAGTCTTCTTATCCTAACTTTTTTTTTAATAGACTTTATTTTTTAGAGCACTTTTAGGTTGGTGCAGTTGAGTGGAAAAGACAGAGTTCTCATATAGCCCTGCCCACACACAAAGAGCCTCTCCTACCTACTATCAACCTCCTGCACCAGAGTGGTACATTTGTTACAAGTGCTGAGCACACACTGACACATCATTATCACCCAAAGTCCATAGTTTACATTAAGGCTCACTCTTGGTGTTATATATTCTATGGGTTTTGACAAAAATAATGTATCCACTAGTATAGTATCATACAGAATAGTATCACTGCCCCAAAAATCCTCTATATTTTGTCTAGTCATCCTTCCTTCCCCCAAGCCCTTGACAAACACTTCCGAACACATTTTAAACATGACCAAAACAGACTGGAATGAACATTTTCAGTCCTCAAGGAAAAAAATCCCCATTAGAGTGTATAGTATTAATACCAGTCCCTTTGAGGGCGCCTGGGTGGCTCAGTTGGTTAAGCAACTGCCTTCGGCTCAGGTCATGATCCTGGAGTCCC